GACGAAGAAAGATTTATATCGAGTTTGTTCATTATCCATATACCCGAATATATCTATTATTCTCTTTCAATGTTTAAATGTTTCTAAAATTCATCTATTTGAAGCAATAATGGATAAAAGATAATAATGCACGATCCTGTTACATAATCTCCAATAAAGTATTCTGAATGAGAGAAATAAGAAAATATTCTTTTTCATCACAAAGTTATAATCTCATATTATATATTACAGGATTTATTTTCTCCATTAATTCAATACAATTTCCATTTCATTTATGTAAAGCAATACGCACGTCAATATCCATCTGTATATAAAGGCATATTGATTTCCATGAATATGCTCCATTTTCCCTTACAATTTATTTAAAAATCGAAGCAAGAAAAAATCTTCTTTTTCCCGTATACCTTAATTCATAATTTAATTCACATATATGTAATTTGAATAGAATTTTAACGAAGTGTAAGATTGTAATGTGGTGTATGATACTGGTTGACAGTATATGTGCATTTAATTACGTAAGATACCATTTATTGATAATATAAACATCGTTTATAAATATATAATCATGTGTGTACAATCATGTAGAGTACGAAGATCACAATGAAAATCTTAATTCTATTATAATACAACTATTATGGTTTTTTTTTTTTTTTTTTTTGAGATAAAAATAATATATTAAAAATAATATATAATAGATGAAGATTGGAAGCGAAAAATCAACCAATATAATAATCATTCTATGACGTATATAAATTTTTTATATTATATATTTTAATTTATACCTTACTTTTTTAAAAACATTATGCCGGCTAGAAAAAATTCAATCAAAGCATACTTTATAATAGTTTTTACTAATATGCGAAATAACTTACGCATAATATAAATTTAATGAGAATATGTTCTGTAGAAATAAATAGAAAATACAGAAATTGTTCAAACTTTCCATTAGTATTTATTGAATTACTTATTTAATATTTATTTATTTATTTATCTTTTATAATTAATACAAATTCTACGGTGAATTAAATATTCAACAATTAAATTTACTTATAATAGTTGAATAATAATTCAAATAATACAGAATTAGATATTAAGATTTTATTAATATATCGATTTAAAATTCTCTATTATTGAACTTTACTATGTTAAACGCAAATACATGGGGCATAATAAAAATTATGTTTGATCAATGCATAAAGGATAGAGAAGTAATAAAAAATATTTTTATTGAATGTTTTTCAATATAATTACATCAAAAACTTGGAACAATGATATTATTTTATTACGATTTAAAATGATAATTCATCTAATTTTTATTCTAACGATACAAGTTCTTTGTATTAAAATTCAATTGTCATAAAATGAAGAGAGAAAAAATCAACACGCGATATGTATTAATCAATCTACTTTATAAATACAATATTCATCATTATAGATTAAATGAGCAAATATTTAAAATATGTCTTATTATGCACAATATTGAAAACTAACTTTAATAATTACAATATTAACATTTTCAACTACGATAGAATTATTATAGATAATATATCATTCAGTACTTTGTTTGAATAACAAAAATACAAAAATAACAAAAATAACAAAAATTTGAATAACAATTTTTGTTATTCAAATCGTTAAGGAAAAAATTCAAAATTTTAGTAAATAGTATAATTATGCCAGTCTTAAATGTTAATGATTAAATATCTTTCTCAAGTACTATACACTCAAGAAATTCCGTACGATATACAATATACATCATGATTAAATTTGAATGAGATGAACAATTTCATAATGTATATGAAGATCAGACTATACTACACAAAACATTGATTAGATAATACAATGAGAGCTGTACGCCATTTTCAAATTATAAAAATGTTTTTATTATGCTCTATTTCATCTTTCAGTTCACACCTTTTTTATTAGATCCACACGTAAATATAAAAGTAAATCATATTTAGATATACGAGGTAATAGTTCATTGTACAACAAAAAAAATTGTAGACCAACAATATAAATCAATAACTGATTAAAATTTTATCTTTTTATTAGTAATAATAATATACAATAATAAATAATACAATATTAAAGTAGTATTTAAGATGTGAGCATTAAAGATTTTTTATTGCATTATTTCATTTTATTATGCTATTATAATTTGATTTATGTAATAATAATGTACAAGAGTAAATAATAATAATATTTAGGATATTAATATCATAATAATATTTAGGATTTAAGTATTAAATCCTTTATATTGCGGTATTTAATGTTATTATGTCGTTAATATTTGATTCGTCAAAGCATATCTCTTCATATTATTTTTATATGATAGTTCAAATAAAGTATTCAATTTTTTGAAAAAATAGCAATGTGATAATAGTGATTAAAGTGATGATTTCAAATAGTTTTAATAAAATAAAAATGTATATTGCATTATCTTTAAATAAATTTTTTTCTATTTCTCAATGTTAATCTAAAAGAACATCTTGATTTTAAGTAATGTAATGTTTACTTTTTCAATTTAAAAATTTTTCCCCGGTATATTTAATTACAAGCATTGTAATGTAATGATTAAGCTCATTGATTAATCACAAAACGCACATATTTTTAAATTTAAAATAATTACCATTTAAGAAATAAGGATCATTAGGTTAATTGTTTATAAAGTGGAAAAAAATGTTTACTTAAGTAATTTACTATGAAGCACAATGGCATCAGTCAGAACATTATAGTTAAGTCAAAAAAGAAATACTGATACTTTAATTTACATATAACAAATCACAATATAATGAATAAATCAAAGTATTAAATTTTCACGTATAAATTTTAATAGTGTAATTTAAACAGGTGGTTAGTAATGAAAATATTTCACTTCTTCAAGAGTCATCTCTCGATTATATCGATCATATCGATCGCAATAATCATTCAGTCCAAAGAGTCAAGCAGCGCCTCGGAAAATTGCCTTCAAACAAAAAAAAAAAAAAAAACTCAAAACCGCCGCAACTGCATATGTACAGGATTGCTATTACATTAGAAATTATTTTGCATGCAATCGCAAACTGAAATATTTGCGTGAAATAAATTGTCTTGATCAACGGTGTGAGAAAATTTCTCGATCCGTAACATATTCTTCTGTTGTCGCATTATTTAATAATTTATACAGATACTTTCTCTAATCCAATTCTATATATTTTAATATTATTTATACTTATAAAGTTGTATACATATATATATATATATATATTATATATATGCAAAATATAATATTTATTGTCGATAATAAAAAAATAAATTATTTATAAAATAGTGTAAAATAATATATTTGTAAAGTTATATTTAATTAATCCTTTGTATGTATTCATTTGAAAATAACGAATATATTGTATATCGAAACTAATAAAAGTACTTTAGTGACGATAGTTATTGAAAATTTTTAAATAACCACAGTGAGCACTGTAGGCATTCTATACAAAAAATAAATAAATAAATATCAATTATTTGTTATGCTACAATTACAGAAATTCTAATTAAATTATTAATACATTCTAATTAAAATTATTACCGTTTCACGTTAAGGAATTATAAATTAGTTACTAATATTAAAATTTTCTAGAACAATGCAAAATTTTTTAATTTATTGCCCAATAATAATCTACAAATAATGTTTAATAAATAAAGATGCTAATATAATAATTCATAAACTTTATGATCACATTTTATTTATCGTTTTACAGTATTTTACAATTAATAGCTATTTAAAAAATATTTTATAAAAAATGTATGCAGAGTATTATTAACAAATAATACAAATTATTCACGCAATGTTTAAAAATGTAAATTGGATTGTTTTTATTAAATTACAAAATTTATTACACAATTTTGTTTGTAATAATTTACATATTCTATGCTTTCATGTAAGCACACACACTCATGCGCATACACAGATCAATCCACTGACGCTGACATTTATATAAACATGAGTACAATACTAATCTAACTCGTCAATTTTCGATTATCTGTAGAATTCTGAAAAGATTACAATAATTTGCCCTTGAAACAAAATCTCGTTACACTCACTATTGGTCATTGCAATTATTATATATATATATATTCATCATCTTCTTCTTCTTCTTCTTCTTCTTATCATTATTATCATTATTATCATTATCATCATTATCATCATTATCATTATTATTATTATTATTATTATTAATTGTACTATATTAAACAGTATGCAAATAAATTATTATAACAATATAATGTAACCCAATAATAAAAAATAATGGAAAGAATTTCATTAGAGTAGATGTAGCAATATAATGGCGACAAATTTTTCAATCAATTTCATTGAAAAGAGTTTAGATATTTATTTGAAATTGAAAAAAAAAATAATAATAATAAATAATAAACTACTATTTAATTCAGAATAATTTAATTTAGTTTTTATAAATTATAATTTTACGTTATAAAAATATTGGACACGTATTCCTATTATAAATGTATATACACTTTAGAATTATACTATATAATATATTATATTATAGAATATAGATATACAGATTATACAGATTATAAAATTCGATAAGATTTTAGCCAATAATTTAAATACTTTAATAACACAAATGTAATTTAATTAATGAGTGAATGGATACTGACTGGTATAAGAATTATAATGATATTCGTAGAAATAAAAGCTTTAGACGCTAATAAAAGTAATTCGGCTAAGTATAAAATTTTTCTTTTACAAATATAATAGATAATTTCGCTTTTACATTTGTATAAAATTTTCAATCGCCTATACAGTGGTTAAACATTAAAAAGTGCACAATAATGTTTAGTCTATGTATGAATTGTTGTAATAACCATTTTTAACTAAAACGCTTATATAGAAATTTTCTATCATTAAAATCTAACGATCATCGGTTTGAGATCTTCGATCAAATTATTAAATTGAACAATTATTCATGTAAAATTTAAATTATTTTAAATCTCTCTAATATAATGATACGACTTTGGGATAATTTTGAATTCTATTGAAGCTAGTATGTTGCATTTTTAGCTTTTTGTAATTATGATTATCAACGCTATCAAGAAATTGATCCAATTTCCTTTTTCCGAATGAAAAGTCACTTTGACCTTTCGATGACCCGTCTCGATTATCAATAATGTTCTTGCATTCTTGAATTCCAGTCGACATCTGCTCGTATAAAATTATAATAATATTACAATCTAAAAGTGCACCAATTGTTCACAGGGAAAGTAGTGCATAAAAATATTTTACGTTTTATTTATCTGCTATCAATTAAAAGTCTATAAAATAATTGTTTACATACTTTTCTCTTTCTTTTAATTAATGAAGGTGAAATAAAATTCTTTAATTCCCTCTTTTTTATATATCTTGCCTCTAAAGTCATATCTTCTTTAAGCAACCTAATTTGTTCAGCTTGTCTTTTTGCTAAAAAGAATAAGTAAAATTGTTACAAAATTTATAATTACATGCGTATTGATTACAGACACCTGTCTACAAAAAATAATTAAATTTTAATCAGATAATGGTCATTCGGTAAAATAGCCGCCGATTTAATAACAGGTGAATAATATTATGTCTTATTAAAGTGATTACTTGTATCGATAAAAATCTGGATATCATCTGTTAGGTCAATATTTAAAGTTTCTCCCTTCTTGAAAGCCAAACCAATAAACCATACGGAGCAGCAGTGGTTGGTTTTATTTAATTTTAATGGTGTAAACATTTCTGGATGAACATGTGCCAACGTAATATATGGATTTCTCTCCAAGGTACCTTATTTATTGTTTTGTTAATTTTATTTATTTATTTTTTTTTTTTTGTTTTTTCTTTTTTTTTTTTTTTTTTTTGTTTTGTTTTTTGTTTTTTTTCTTCTTTTATTCTTATAATAGAATTATTAATATTTAATAACAAATTAAAAAATGTAAAGAAACAGTTAGTTTTATAAAATGAAAATTATAAAATGGAAAGCTTAATTAACATTTTAGCGAGCGACAATGCTGAAAATTCTAATAATAACGGGTATGTTAAATATTTTTTCACATTTGCATATTATCAATTATTACATTGAAATACATTTTCTCCATAAATTTTCATTCAATAATTAAACTTACTTAAAAGTCTTGATAAATATTTACCCGTTTGTTCGATATACTAAACATACTAAATAATATTATATGATTTTATGAAACTGAAAGGCTTAATTCATGAAAAAGCAATTATGTCGAACGGCAAGCAATAACTCATCTCATATATCCAACACTTTAAAGTTACATCAATTGCAATGAAAATGCTCAAAAAATTGCCATTAAAACTAACCTTTTTTTCTTTCTTTTTTTTTTCTTTTTTTTACTAGGAAGACGTGTAATAATTTTAATGTATGTCATCATAACTCGTACCTATCAAATGTCGTATTTTCGCTTCGATGAATCCACACCATTCGATATGATGTCCCGTCGATGGACTACCAACAAACAGTGTAATGTAGTGTCTGTATTTACCGAAAAAAAATGCTGGCTCGAATAATGCGTCCCACTTAGTCACGCCCATCATGATCTCTTTGATAATTAATAGACCATTATCAAATGATTCTTGTATAATGGCTTTCGAGGATGCGGATACATTGAATGTGGAATTTTGTTCTGGATACGCAGGTGTTATAATGGGCATCAAGTGATCTCTATCTAAAATATTAACCTGTAACGAAGGCACGATCGATCATTTTTAATATCTCATGATCGTATGAAATGACTTATTTGAAATTAGCTTGAATTGGCTTACATTACAATTTCAGATCATTGCGAAAAAAATCTATTACTATTATTTCAAATTATTATGAATTAAGCACAATTACAATAATGATGTATTTTCATTTATAATGTTTATTTTAATGGCTCGCGATATCGTTATTAATCATTAATAACATTATTATATCTGATATATTAAAAATTCAATGAATAGCAAAGTTTTATCGAAATAATTGAACGACTTTGACATTTACGGGTTATTTTTATAATTCCATCATTTTCTTTTTTATTTATTTATTTATTTATAATTGAAGCTCGATGTTCTATAATGTTTTTGAATAGCATATAATATCATTTTAGAATAAATAAATCAATGAAAATATATAATAGAAGTATGAGCGACTTCAATTAATTTTAAAAAACATCTTTCATCTGTAAACTATGAAATAAAATGATAAATTTTTTGTTATTTATAATGAAAATTTATTTATTTCTTAATATTGTTAAAATACTATTGTTGAATATCATAGATTTTTTACTATTATTACTTTGGTTTATAAATACATACATTACATGCCACTCAGTACTGCTCTGGCTATTCTAATAAATCGTATACCTAATTGAACGCTCCAATTGCATTTGCTTTGGGACAAAATATCGAATGACAAAATCACTACTAACAGCTTTCTATCAATATTATTAATAATTAACAGTGGCTCAAAGTTCTAAGGTAAACGAAGTTTCATCCAATCGTGGAACAACCTACCCGTCGATCCCAAACCGGAAAGCCCAAATTAACGTCCTCCGGCGGCTTTAAATACACAGGCGCTGGCCACTTCCACAACGAGAAAATTAAGAAGAATTTCTCTATCAATATTGTCGCATCGGCATTCGGATAGAGTAAGCACGTCCTTGCAAGCAATATCGCCCAGGACACACCGCCAAAGTAACCCAATATATTGCTGTAAATGCCTTTTTCTGAAATATATTAAAACACGTTAGTGCAATCTTTATTCGATGGATAGAGTTTTTTTTTTTTTTTAAGATGTTATTACTTTTTGCCCATAATCTTATGGCACGTAATGCCAGTCGAAAATTTTCAATGTTGGGAACGAGACGGAGTATTTGATCTGTTACACGGCAGCCATTTAAGCTTCGGACGCATTTCGGATCGAGATTCGCCAACAGCATATTATCTCTCAAATCCTACACATAACGTGAAATTAAGATGTTAAAGTGATAAAAGTTGAACTGATTAATAGTAAATTTTAGAATTTAGTTCGCAATAATTACTGGCATCATTCACTTCGTGAATCTTTTCAAAATTTCAACTCACTCGCAATTTCAAAGGCAATTACTTAAGAAATAAGTGCATAATGAAAGATAAATATTATTATAACTTACTAAATATTCTGATATTTCATTTAATTCTAATCTAGCGAAAAGCATATCGATTTCTATATTATTGAACTTCATCTTTAGGACAGGTACGAATGCCTCTTCGATTGCCTAAAAATTTAAACGAAATAATTAAATTTTTGAAAATACAAGTGAACATGGATCACAATCATTTCTTTAGTCGTAGCATTACATGCTTCTCTAATGACAAATCTTTCGTTAAAAACAAACAAAAAACAAAAAAAAAAAACAAAAAAAAAAAAAAAATTAGAACGAATGATAGTCAACAATAAGAATGTTTAAGGAAGTAAATAAATAAGGGACGAAAAAGGTCCAAACTTACTCTTAATTCCTTGATTTCATGTTGCATCTTAAGTAATTCAAAAAAGGATGTAAAATAATCCGATCGATGTATGTGTTGAGGAACAACGCACAATGCGTCAATATCAGCACCTCTGTGATACACGCCTAATTTGTACGATCCAAATGTGTAAATTTTACCTCCAACTCTAACTGCTTCTTCCGGAGTCATATTCCTTGCAATGCTCAGATCTATTACCCATTGTTTAACAAGCGTATTTAATTGGCTAAAAAATATGTTTTATTACAATTATTCAGTGACGGGGAACAATTATATAAGATATTTAATCACCAACCTCTCCAGGCGCCTACTTTATACAATATTTAAATGAAAAATGAAAAATGAAAAATAAATCCATCTAGTGATGTTAATCAATTGTCAGAATAATTTAATTACAATACTTTTTTACAGTTATTTACAATATTAATATTAAAGTACAATATTGTATTGAATTTTATTCTTTAAAAAGTTCGTTGTACATTGTAGAAAATAATATACGAGTGTATATGCTAAAATTGATTATTTTGAAATAATTTATGGCACAAATATTCGATAAAAAATATTCACCTAATTTATAACGATACTCTTTTTCTTAAACATTAAACATTAAACAAGGAAATCGTGTTAGATATAATGAAAAAAATTATATAACCAAAGATCGATTATATATTTGTATAATTAACGTAATAAAAACATTGTTACAATTAAACATAGATTTTATTATAACATATAGCAATATTTATTGTAAATTGTGAAGAAATTCGGACAAATAAGAAATGACTACTGAATTTACTTTCCTATTGCTAATGTAAATAAAAATGTATAGCATTTTTTTTTTTTTTTTTTTTTTTTTTTTTTTTTTTTAATTATAACGTTAATAAGCATAATGCTAAATTATTACAATTTTTACTTTTTACTTCTATCTTCATACTATCTGTTTAATAATTTATAAAAAAATTTATAGAATAATTTTCTTGTATTTCATTTGAATAAAGAATAAATTATGCGAAATAAAAAAAATGTAATCTTACGTGATTTAACGAATAAATATTCTTATTATTATATTTTAAGCAATGACATGATAATATAAAAAAAATTCTTAGAAAATGATTCAGAGCGTTCTCAAAAAAAAAAAAAAAAAAAAACAAAACAAAACATTTAATTTTCTTTATCTTTTAATTCTGAAGTGTAAATATAGCAATTTTCAAATTGTATTGCCTCGATATAATTCTCTTTAAAACAAATAAATTTTGTGTATACTTTAATTAAATGAAATTTAATAATGTGATTACGTAATGTATACATAACTTACCAGACTTGTACAGAACTATAAATAATGAATTTTAATAAAAATCAGCCGCAACTCAAAAATATCGTTTGAATTCATTGTAATATTAAGTAAAGAATTAACATTTTTAATATTTCAGTAGACTATTAATAGTGACAAAAAAAAAAAAAAAAAAAAAAAAAAAATAATAATTTCGCACGATATTTCAAATAAGAACGTACTTTAATACAACAATTCTGTGCTTCGATTCCACTTCTGATTCAAAAACATCGTGATTTTTCAAAACATCTTCAAGCTCTTTTGTTCGTCTCCAACTACTCGAATTCGGCTCCGTCATATTAATTGCAAGCGATAGTAAATCCTCGGCACTTTGCGTATATTTTTGAGAAGAATAATTATTTCTTAAGTCTGAGCACATAGTTGTCTTCATTTATTATATCTCGAAATATCAATGTAATATAAGATGAAATTGTATTATCATATTTGTTGATTTTTCAAATAACAAGAATGAGTCCGAATGTATCCACAATTAGGATATATGTCGAGCAATAATATTGACACTTAATCTTTTCAGAATTTGTATTCTTGAAAAAGTCCCACTTATACTAATCACCTAATAGTTTCATTAATTCTTTATTTTCTTTTATTTTTGTATTTAATATTTCATCGTTTTTAACTTTTAATTATTATTATTATTAATTTTTTTTTTTTGTTTTTTTTTTTTTTATATATATATATAATTTTTGTTTGGTTTTTATTTATTTTTTAGTATATTATATTTTAATTAATAATACAACAGAAATGCTTGTAAGTAACATAGAGAGAAACATTGGGAATAAATTTAATTAATCACAACACAACACTTTCACAATAACACTGCGCTGTAATACATTGGCGAGAGAGAGAGAGAGAGAGAGAGAGAGTGAGAGAGAGAGAGAGGGGGGGGGGAGAGAAATATTTACATTAATGCGGAAAATATTGGATTTTCTAACGCATAATATCTACAATATTAATTATTCATATATCTATATCTATATTATACCTATACCTATACTGAAGCTATGTATAATAATATTGAGGTAAAACGTTTATTAAAAAACGTTAAGGAATTTATCACCAATAACTTGCAAGATATTTCTCAACTTTCAAACGTTTTAAATTCAAAGTTATTAAAAACTTTTGCACTGCAAAAATGCAATAATGAAGCGCTTAAAAATGGTCTATTGCACAATTCTTGAAACATACGTGCACGAGGATACGCAAGCACGAAAAAAAAAAATTATGAAAATATACGTTGGTTCAAGTGGAGCCGTGACGCGGTACTATTGTAGCCCAGGGAAATCAACTCGGAAACTTTAGATCATTATCGTTTGGTTTATCTGTACATATGCTCCTACGAATGTACACCGGTATCATCATTAGTGTGAGTCTATTTACACGTACCAATGAATGTGTATGATTACTTAAGAATCTTGATATAATTTTGACTGTTAAATATCGACGAGAATTTAGTACAGATCGTATATTACCTCGGTAAGTTTTGATAATAAACTATGTATTTGAACACCCACGTTGTTACAATGATTGTATGATTTTTTTGTTTTTTTTGTTTTTTTTGTTTTTTTTTTTTTTTTTTATAGTGACAAAGTTACAAAATTTAATTAATTTTGCCAAAAGATATTTGATATTATTAGCGATATTTTCTCTTCGTGTAATTAATAAGACTTACACTATATTATTATTAATATCAGAAGTTTCAGATTATTTAAATATTATAGTAAATAATGAAATATTTAATTTAAAATTACATCTTTTTTCGAATAAATGAAATTAATTGGAAATAACTTAATCACATTAATAATATTAGAAATAATAAAAATTCTTATATCTAATATTTGAGATTTTTTTAATTTGTACATGTTCAGAGTGCGAATGTATGAGAATAAGTGTTGAAATTGAAATTGAAATTACCATTTCAATATCGAATTAAACCTTTTTTTTTTTCAACAAAAAATGTTTCTAAATTATACATTATTTAGTTATGAATGATTAAAAACAATTATATGAATAAATATTGAATCCTCTATATTCTAGTCGATATCATTTTCGAAAATGTTTCAATCGAAGGTCAAAACATTACACTGTATTATGTAAACTGTGTATATATTTAAAAGTATCTATCAATTAAGAATATGATGTATTTCCAATTAATTTCATGAATTTCAATAAGAACAATATTGAAGAATAAAATTAAATGCAACAACAACAACAACAGCAGCAAATTAATAATCTGACAGAAAATATAAAAGGCAGAAAAAATATTCATGAAATCAAGCAATACTAATTTCGCTGTTCTAAATTTAAAAATCTTGGACTAATCTACTTGTAAACATATATTTATAAAATAAATAGATCAATTAAATTGTTTAAAATCCGCTAGTTCCTTAAATTTTACTTTCGCGTATTTTTTTATATTTTTAACAAAGCATAATTTCATTTTAATATTTTCAACACTTCAACGATCGCCTCGATATAAATTGCATATATAGGGATAGAAAGTCCATGTAAAGTTAAATTACTACGTAAACTCAAAGTACTAACGTAACTCAGTCTCATAATGAAAATACAAACTGAAGATAAATTCTTTCGTAATAAAAGAGAATTTCTCTTTAATGTTATTTATACCCAAGCATCTTTATTATATTTGTATAAAAATAAGTACAGAGAATACATAGATCATGAGAAAGCGTAAAGCTTTTTAATTGAATAAACTTATATAAACAATACCATTTGACATTTTGCACAAAGTAGAGAAAAAAGTATCACCTTTATAATTGAGAAATGTTTAATTTAATTATTTCATATTGAACGGAATCCATAAATACAGGGGGGGGGGGGGGGAGGGAATCGTATTACTCTTATCTTATTTATGACATTATACAATAGTTTAAAAAATTGAATTATTACCTTACGTAAAAGAAAATTTCTATAATTATACAAGCCTTATATACTAATGATTTTCTAACTTTCTTTCTTCAATCATTGATCTTTTAAAAATCGACTGCTTGGTAAACGTGTGCATTACAATAAATACTCACTACATGACTAAATTGAAACCAGACACACCAATATTCTAAGGATTCTTGTCTAAGCTGCTCAGGTCTAAGAAATTGCAATCATCTACATCTGAAAGTTCTATAAACTTCGGAAAGAAAGGTTAATACAATAAATAGTAACGATCGTAGGTAATTGAGATCTTTATCGGCAATTACTTTTGAGTATTCAACATTACACGATGCTACACAAGACGCTACGAGTGCTGCAATCCCCATAAATAAGCGCATTCACAGGTATTATTTATAAAACGATGCTAGGATTACATCAACAAATTCAAATAAATCTTGAATAAATTCTAAAATAAAGTCTCCTAAATGAGTTGCGCTTACAGTATTCAGTGTTTTTAAGAATCTTGTAAAGAAATTTTTTATTTAAACCCTTAAACTCGCTGAGAATTGTCTCGCAGTTCATCAAGGTCTCGCGACTTGCAATTTCACTTGTATTTTCACATTGCGCCCCGTTCGCACTTCAGCTCATGCATAACTAACTGTTCATGTGTTGACTTTACATGTAAATATCTACGTTCTAGCTATTTCAAACAAGCAACAATCTGACAATAATAATTGCATGGCGCTATTTATATTATTTATGCAAGCGCTACCTTTCTTTCCATATTGAAATGCGATTGTGTTTGAATATTAGGTATGGTTAATGAGTTTTATCAAAAAGAAGTTACATTTGTAAGGGTTTTCGCTATTGTTAAATCCCAGTTTACGTATATTATATAAAACATACCACTTCGATTCGTTAATTCTTATATTTATTTCGACTTGGGTATTCATAAAAGAAAAAAAAAATCATAGCCAATTATGTAGTTGACGGGAATACGAACTATTAATATGTTGTTATTCATATATTTATTGAATGCCTTTTTGAATCACTTTCTGTTTTATCCATTGAGCCACCCGTATAAACAGAATTCATAGTTTAAATGCTCATAGAATTTCAATATCAATCATTTTATCGTGTAAAAACTGCGTTTAATATAAAGATATCACTATTGTTGTTGATTATTTTTGTTTCTTATTGTTTTATGAAACAATTAAATTTAAAAAAAAAAAAAAACAAACAAAAAAAAAACAACATTGTAAATAAGTATTATTACGAGTAAAAGATGACATATTAGCAATTATTGAAAATAATTTTGATTAACAATCATTGATCGATAATCATGATTGTAAAATTTTACATGTTAAATTTATTTTACCGACTATATAAATTATTCATTATTGATAAATCATTAGATATTTGCAATAAACGTTATTAAAAGTTTGTCAATTAATCTTTAATTAGATTTACTTTCATGTACAAGTAATTACAATATTTTTATTATACAGTTAATTTTACTGGTTAGCAAATGTTCTCGAAATTCCTCCAAAACATATAAATATGTAACGAGTCGGTACATTCTTGTGTCCATTTTATTTTTGCACAATTGCTCTCGTGTCATCTTCTTAATAAACATAGCCAAATCTTACTTCTTTAGGTTTTTTTTTTTTAACATTATAATAATTTAGAAGCGAAAGCCTGTAGTTTAACATACGTAACACATTATTCTATGTAAGTAGAACTTCCTAAAGTATATGCAGGCGCAAGATTTTAAACTTGGATCTGTCATGAAGACTCAGACGTGACTGGATATTTTGCTTTTGGTCGAGGTGTATAGTAGTTTTGCCCCATATAGTAACGTTGAGATTTCACGAGGAAACTAAGATAAATTAAGGATCTGATGCATCAGCGTCAGCCCGAATTTCTACCATCGCCATTAAACGAAAAATGCAAAATTTTATAAATAATTAAAAGAAAAAATATATATATATATATATATATATATATATATATATGCGCCAAACAATTGTGAGAAAATAATTTACTAAGATTTTACTCAACAGTTTGGCGTATGTGCAATGACGATCGAAAAAATTGCATAAATTGTATGTTTGTATTTGTTGTCGAGCTTTTCCCGTTAAAAAAAAAAAAAAAAAAAAAAAAAAAAAAAAAAAAAAAAAATGGATAAATTTAAAGGCTGACACTTGAGCTCTTAAATATACATCGTAATTTAAGCGATTAAAAATTAATGTTGCAGAAATCATACAACGAAATTATAACAATCACAGGATTTTCAACAATTCATAAAAGCTTTTATCTCCCTCAAACGACATATAATAATATGGATTACTTGTTTTCTAAAAATTTATTAAAATAACTATAAGTTCGTATCCGGCATATTTTTTTTTAATATAATCTATATGTGAAAAAAAATTGTTGCTTTAACTTTTTCATGTTTGCAAAATGTCAAAAATTATTTGGCAGTATTTATAGTTACTTTGTATTAAAAAAAAAAAAAAAAAAAAAAAAAAAAAAAAAAAAAAAAAATGGATAAATTTAAAGGCTGACACTTGAGCTCTTAAATATACATCGTAATTTAAGCGATTAAAAATTAATGTTGCAGTTGCAGCGCCCTCTATAGAATGTTCAAAAATTACCAATGAACCCTATTTATAGAATGTAAATTTTTTATATCAACTTTATTATTAAATTCACCTTCAAATTGGAAAGGACAAATAGTGTAAATTAATTAAAACTAAAAGCTCAGTATTCAGTAATCATCGCAATCACGTGTGATTGAAATAATAAATTTACATTCATTTAAAACTAAGTTTTCCTAACACTGAACGTCTAATCTTAAACAATAGGCAGAATGTCCAAATTTCGCTGTAGTAGTCTTATTTAATTATCTTCAGCCATGAAGATTATAATAAAAATAAATATAGAGTAACAAATCTTAATAGGCGAGTGTCGATGTATAATGCAATGAACGATAATCGCGTGCACGAAAGTGAGCTTGGCGTTTCTTTCAAATGAATCGTTTGTTCTTGTTTTAGACAAGAGAGCAGCAGAGGCATTATGTCTGCTATAAATGAGAGAGAATAGATGATAAACGTGCCATGGACGTCAATGATCGTGTATATAAAAATTCTGTTGATCACTCAATAGGTTGGCATTATTTGTAATAGATTTTGTACATGACAACGCGTTTAGGATAGACACTATTTGAATTTGTTACTATTCTTAAAATTTGTAACGATACATTCATATTTTATTGTTATTAAAGAAAATCCATTGGTCTTTTATACATAGTTTTATTGATAAAAAAGAAATAGTTAATTATAATGAATAAAGCGATGGCGATTAATGTGATGTACAAGCGTACGATATGCCAAGCTAAATATTTTATTTTTGCGGAAAGTTCTCGGAGGTGTGCATCGATTATTTTATTAGCAATTGATTATTTTGTTGCAGGATCACAAAGGTACACCGTTATACCTCGGAATCAATCATTGCGGAATCCTCACGTTTCAGGGTTCTCGTAAAACGAATCACTTCCGCTGGCCGGAGGTCCAGAAAATCAACTACGAGGGTAAAATGTTTATAGTTCATCTGACGATAACAGAGGTATGCCTGCATACTTTATTATAAATTAGTAATGTTAGAATTAAGTTACATTATGCCTAGCGGTTCTTTAGATATTCGTGAATAAACGCGATTGGATAATTCGTTGTAGATGTGAAAAATCGATAAGTCGAGAAGTTTCGAGAGTGACTTATGTCAGCGCAATTTCTTACATATTAAGAAAGATGCAAGAAGATGAAGGAATTTCTGTCCTCGGGTAGACGAAGAAGAAGTTTAGACTATTCGATTTATTGACAATCTTCTCTTGCGGTATACAAACGTACGTTATTATTAGTAAAATATTCGCATTGGGAGAAGCTTTTAATTTTTAATGATATAATGCCTTATTTATTTAATAATCAAATAATTCACTGTGTCTATCTAATTTTAGACTTATATATAATTTTTCATCTTTTAGTATAACTAGATAAACTGGTAGTTCAAGATAATATTTATCTTATCATTATTGCACATTATTTTATATATAAAATATATTCTTAAGTTATAATTTTTACAAAAACATAGGTAAAGTACATTTCTAATTGTAAAATGAATTAGAATTATTATTTTGACGACAATATATCAAGTTGGCTGTACGCAAAGTATATTTCAAAATAAACAATCATTAATATAACTTATATTATTTTTTAATTATAACAGTAATGCACATTCTTATCAAATGGACATTTTATGTATGCTTCTCTCAATACTTGTAGTTCAAGTAAAATAATTGTAGATGAATAGTCAGATTTTTTCGACGACGGCATTTATGTCTAATGTACTAGTACAATAATATGTAAGAATTTCAATAGAAATTAGTTACTTTCCTTTCGCTTTGTAGATTACATAAATATAAATAGAATTAGAATATATACATACATACATATATATATATATATATATATATATAAGACAGGTTCTCATTTATTTTTAAAATAAAAATTAGTAACGATAAATACGGTAATAAAATACAAGATTGTTTTTTCGATATTTATATAATTGTTTTAATGAATTAGCGTATTACAATAGAAAACCACAAATTATAGCGAAAAGTAGTTTTTCATTTATTAATTTACAATAATTACAAACTAAAAATATAATAAAAAACAAAGGCGATAAAACTAATATATAAAATGTCATTATACTTTTCAGAAAGATTTTTATACGGTTTCCTTTTAAAGAATTATGATTATTCATGTTTATGTTAAAATGATTATTGGTTATTTATTACTTTATTGAATCAGGTTGCTTTTATATTCATCATAGATGTACTCTATATGCAGGCAAATAATTTGTATTTATTAAATATTAAAATTATAAATTACAGATCAGTAAAATGATAATTTATTTAAATCAGGTGGTATTAGATTTTTACATTTATTTCAATATATAATTTATAAGCCTTAAATACGTGATAAGTTTGCAAATAAAATATGTTATAATAAAATTAAAAAAAAAAAAAAAAATTCAACCGATTTTTAAATCAATTAGCATATAGTCTACAAAATATAATAGACATAACATTATTAAATTAAATATAATTTAAACAAAAAATTTACTTATCAACTTTTCGTTAAAATGCTTAAAATATTATATTTATATTTACGTTCCCTTCCGAATTCACTTACAATTAACAATATTTTTTGGTATCACAGTAGTTATAAATTACCCTGTTTATTTTTCTTTTTAAATGTAATAACTTTTTAATATAATTGTCAGCAATATTTGAATAAAAGAAAAAAGTTATAGCTATCATCTTTAGTTTCAGAGAAATATTTTCTTTCTTCTTTTTTTTTATGCAAGTATGTATGCGATTCAATGATATTAAATGTAATAACTTGATATGTTAAAAGAGTTTCGAAATTTTAACGGTTAGTTGTTTGGTGATTAAAAAGTTTATGTAAAAATTTTCTAAAAGTTTTCGTAAAAGTGATATATGCATACGTATAACTTCAGATCACATTTAGTAAATGATGAATCAATATGGATAATATTTCATTTATTTGAAAAATATAATATTTTTATACAAGATTTTAACACTTTTTCACGTATAGAGCTTTACTTTATAATTGAGATGAAAAAAAAAAAAAAAAAAACATCAAGTAGAAGTTGGTACAAAATCTGAAAATAAATTAAATTATAACAGATTTTAAGATTATCTAGATTTAATATTTAATATACACAATTATCATTATAAGATATTAATATTATCTACATACATATTTGATACAAGTTTAATATGATATTCTATATTTTCGTTTTATGACTTGTTTGAATATACAAATGCGTTTGAAAAACATAAAGAAATCTCAAGAAAAACATCCTATTACTTAATATTTGAAATGGAATTATAATACGTTATTTTTCATTTTTATATATTCTGAAGCTTCTGACAACACTTTTCATAAAATGTTTTTATTGAATTCGGGGCAAAACATTCGGAAACGCACTTAAAAATTCAATACATAGAAAACTTTTAAATGTACTTTAATAATCAAACTATTAACTATATAATAAAATAAATAATTACCAATTATATCATTATATACATTTTACATTATTCGGATTAACAGAATATAAGAAGGATGGAAAAAAAAAAATTAAAAAAGCATTTTTAAAATGTTTAGTTATATATTACATCGGTATGAAAATTTTATTCGAAACTTAATAAAATAACGTATTATTTTTAAAGTCGACAGGAGGATTATCAATAAATGTATTTCCTCAAAATAAGGTAAATTCATCATATTGTCAATTTACAAAAATATTCTATACTAATACTATTGTATGATAATAAGTTGAATAAAATTAGTAACGAGAAGATTAATATTTACTAACAAAATTTTAATTCAATTAACGTTTCAATTTCATTTTCCTTACTATTAATACTGTAAGTATGAATTTCAAATACTAAATTTTGCATATTAATTTCGAATAATAAATACTAAATGTTTTACCGTCGTTCAATTTGTTTATGAAATGCATTCGATTATGGATGGCAAAAATGTAATATTTTACATTTTAAAAATATCGAATCTTACCAAATCTGTTAATGTAAATTTTATTTTTGATAATTTTTTTATGCAGTTTATTCTTTTTACTCGGCTGGCGTGTTACTTATAAGCGTCTAAATTCAAAACGAGAACCCATACTTTTAACATCTATGATTCATGAAATGTTTTCCCTTCCTATCTATAGCACAATTTCACGATTAGATGGTCAAAAAAAAAAAAAAAAAAAAAAAAAAAAAGACACGTGAAAAAATTGAATTGCAATGAATGTAGATATTTCCAAGAAGTATGGATATTTCCTTCCATTTGTCTTATCGGATGGGAACTTTACCCACAAGAACGAAGATTGGCGGCATGCACCATTAATAAACGTTACGTGTAAAATCCAATGCTTTCGGCGCTTCTTATTTCTGTAGATTGGTTAAAAAATATATCGTGAATAGAATAAAATTGGTTTGAAGATTCAAATTATGTTTATATTGAAATGTTGATATCTTATTTTTATGCGATTTTGCAATTGCTAAACAATATGGGATGGTGGGGGGGATGGGGGGGGGGGAATCTATGCATTAGGAGTTATTTCATTTTTAATAAAAACATTTTTATAAGATTTATTATTATTTAATTACATTTTTTAAACTATGAAAATTTATCATGGTAAACAAAAAATGTGAATGCCTTTGTGATAAAGGCAATTGATAATTTCTTATAAAAGCTTGAGTTTTAATGTTCTATTTATATAACGAATACACGAGCGATATTATGAAAACAAGATTACAAGCTTAAAGTATAAATATTAATAATATACAGGTATTAACGTTTTCGAATAATCTTGGAGTAAAATATATTTTCGTTTCCTAAATGAAAGAACATTTTCAAACTAACCAATAGCTTTAATAGTTTTAATCTTTCGATTAAGTCAGAATTTAAATCAATAATAATAACAATATAATAATTATGGAAAACGCGTGAAACTGTTTATTTTCTCTTTACTTAAAACAGCATTGGGCTGAAATATTTCATTAATTAATAAAAGCTTAAATGCCATCGGTATATTTCAACAATGGACCCTCGATGTTTATAAAAGTATTTGAATAGAATTGTCAATAATCAATATATAGCAGATAATTGAATATTAAATTAAATTTCGGATAAGGTAAAAATTGCTACGTGACGTTATCAGTATCCAATTAGCATAAAGCTACTCCAAAACTCTGAATTACTCTTGTAAAATAATTTAGAAATAAAGAAACGCAAAACGACAAGTTCTTCGATATAAACCTTCATTAGCTTCTTGAGTCATCTTGAGTCATATGCAAGAGTCATATTATGCTAAGGTAATGTAACGCTTGGAATGAAGTTGAAGTATACGCAATGGGATTAAGTCGCGGTATATAGGAATTCGGGGACGCCGGTTTGTATAAACTGAACTGAGGTCACAGACGCGGCTGAACTTTCGGCATAAAATCTACACAGAAAATCAAAATAAAATCTGGACTCGCGGAATGAACAAGCTGGCGTATAACTTATTTTCTCACATGTTTTTACAAATAATCATGCATGATTATCATTTTTCAATTTGATAATTTATGAGTAAATATTCATAATCGTTACATTTCTATTTACGCAAAAAAGCAATTATATTTGCTTTTATCCAAAATGTTGCGTAATGACTTTTTGCATATGTGCAGGGACCCGTAACGATATATTATTACTTTCATTCTTTTGTCTACTAAATAGAAAAAATAATACAAATTATCGTACGAATATATTTTATCGTCTTGACAAAGTATATATAACTAACTGTAGTGTAGTTTGCAAAAAGATAGAATTTCCCAAGTAAAAGCATAGATCGTAGTTTTTTTTTTCTTCTTTTGTTATGCATTATCCATTTAGTTAGAAAATAATTTTATTCGTAATGCATAAACTTGTATGGCCCATACACACTGCTATCGATGCTATCGCGAATTTCGGTAATTATTAGACTGCAACAGATTTTTTCTTCGAAAGAATAAGTACCTTTTTCAACAATGACGAGCCCGGAGGATAAACGAATCTTACATTTGTATAAATATAAAATCGATAGAAGTCAAATTCATTACGCATATTGATTATTTGGCATTAAAATAAGCAATTGCAAACTAATAGCAGACAAAATAAATGTGACTAATAAGAAATTTCTATTATTTAAATGCAAATAAAAAGTCATTTCCTCATTTCGAGTAGATAATTATCCACAAACTAGGTAATGAAATATTAATACAAAAGAGACAACTTTTAAAATATTTACCATTGAAAAACTACTATTTGCTATGAATTCCTTATTATTGTCACCGTAACAGTAGAAAAAGATATGAAAAGCAATGAAAAGGAAAAAAAAAAAAAAGATTTATCCAAATGAAAACGAGAATCGCTATAAAATTCTATGCAATTTAATTGCTCCAAGTAAGCAGTGCAAAATTGGTGATAAAAATGAAAAAAAAAAAAAAGAAAAAAAAAATCTATTGTAATAGCTATATGAATTAGCCGTCCATAATCCCAGCTCCTGTCAAATTCTCCTCATTCACACTTCCACGACTTCATCGTTCCACGTTCGTCACGCCCTCGTTCACCCATGCTCCAACAAAAGTAAGCTAACTAACGTTTAACTCGCGCTTACATATAAACTTACATATACATATAAATAGTATAGTCTATAAGCTATATAGTCGGACAAGTAAAGTAATCTCATTATTTGCTCCGCATTTGCTGCGCATCGGCTGTCTCCCCAGGACACGAGGACGAAGGTGAGTTGTATCATTATTTTTTTTTTTCATTTTTTTTTTCTTTTTACTTTGTTCCGTTACAAGTACTCTGATAAACGTAAAGCGATTTCATTCTCTCCAATAATAGCATTATGTTCTGTTTCTCGGTGTCGGTAAATAACGATAGAATCGAGCGAATTTGATGTTATGCTTATAACGAATAAAGTCGTCCTTAAGAAATTTCGTTATGATTAAAATTATCAAACGATTTGTTAAAAGTCATTTGTTCGCCAATAAAAAATCATATAAATTATATCGATTCAGTGCTTAATTGAGAGAGAAAGAAGCGTCAGATTTCTTTCGATTGCATTTTTCTAGAACTTTATAATCTGCATTAAAATAATTATTAAACTTTCGGCGATAAAGATAAACGTAACAATAAAAAAATAAAAAAATAATGCAATGTAAATTTTTTAATTACTTTAAATTCACTTTTGAAAATTTCATTATTTTATCTTCTACCAGATTCGTAAATATTATTTAATTTACGGATTTTCAATAAAATATAATTTATTAACCAATGATGCATATGTAAAATATACCATATTGTTCATTTGTATTTTATATACCGTTTGCCCATACGAATTCAATAATAAATAAATACACATAAAATTTCTTAAAATAAATTGTAAAATGATAATATTTTTTACAAATTACGATTTAGCGTAGTAACTAAAGACGTTACTAAACAAAAAATTTATATATTTTTCTAAATGATATTTGTTTTCTAATATAAGTTTTAATGTACATTTTAATAGTTAATTAATGTTATATTTATATAACAGTAGATCATACGTGTAATTAAAGTATAATTAAAAATGGGGAGAATTAATGTTGAGCAAACATTTGAATTTTCTTCTTTAATATAAAATAATTATAAAATAACTTGCCTTTTATATTCGATTTCTCGGTCATAATGGTATTGTCGAATACCAGCTGATAAATAAAATGATTTTTGATTTGTAGAATTTCGATTGAGATAGCGAACATATTAGAAAATCAAACAGTGAATTGTTTTTCGAGAACTTTTGAAAGAAATAAAGTTTGCATATATAAAAATATAATTAAAAAACAAAAATCTTCTGTTTATAATATTAATAAATTATAGCCATAGATTATAAACTTATATATTCACAAAATGATACCATATAAAAATAATAAAATATCATCTGATTTTTTTTAATTATCTAAAATTAATATTGCTTATTGCTGCGAACATTTAGTAAACTTTATTGCTTTTTTTTATTATTATTTTTTACATTATTAATATTTACAGACATAACGCTACAATTTAAATTGTAAAAGAAATAATTTTTCAAACACGTTTCTCCTTTAAATATATCTTTATTAAATAGACAAATGAATTTTTATTTACAAAAATACAGTCAAAATACTCTGAAGAAAAGACGATTCTTCGTTTTTAAACTCAGAATTATGAAAAAGTATTTGAAAAAGTATTGAATCAAATTTAATAGTTTTTTTTTTTGTTTCTTTTTTCTTTTTTTTTCCCAACAGTTTATGATTTATCGTAAATTTTGTCTGGCAGTTAACTTTTTATTTAATAATTTTGTTTTCAGTACTAATGGTCCTTTTTCCCCAGCGATTATCTAGAGCTAAAACCTAGTAAAAGTTGAGAAAATATTTGCTTGTATGCATTCAGTTGAAAATAGTATACGAATAGTTTATTACGATAACTTAAATTATAATGTCATTTAAATTATATGACTTTTCATAATTTCTATATTTTTCATATATATGAAAAATGTATACCTAGTAATTGCAGATATCACATCTATAGAAATTAATTATCAAAATTTTCTAACTCATCGACGAATTTAATATAACCATTACAGCATAATAAGATTATTGAAATAACTTAAACATCTTAATCGATGTATTTTAACATTACATTTTACCTTACCGGAATGATAGGAAATTGTAAAAAATAATAAAAAAAAATGAGAAACGAATGAAATAAGGTAGATGGAAATTCTAAGAATTTTATATCTAAATGTGATATCTAAATGTAATTTCAACTGAAAGCACGCATCAATGAAATCGTTAAAATTTTATTCAGATAGACATTGGAAGTATGACAAATTTTGCAGAAGAAACACACTGTCGGATTTAAGTGTCCCACGGGATCAAACTGCCGTCATGTGTGGAGGTGCGCTATCGAGCAAATGCTGTTTTTCACGTGAGTATATTATATTCTACTTTACGTAACATTTTCTTCTCCACTATTTTCACATATTTTTCATCTTTATCTCTTGACAGTGATTTAAAAATCTTGCTCTATACATATTATAATATATGCATGAACTTACGACGTACTGAACGTACGACTTGTATTGAAATTTATATCGTCCCATTTCTCTATGATCAACAGCATACGGCTGAATCAATAATTATTTATTAATGTTGAATTTTCTTCAAAATTTAAGATGAACGACTATTTTGTTTTTAGAATGAGTTCGAGATTTATGATTATAAATTAATTCAATGTCATTAAATATTACCCCCACGATATTAATTTAAAACTTCCTACCTACTCCATATTTCCACTATTATCTATATACTTTATATAAGAGAAATATAGAATTAATTAAAAAAAAAAATTTATATCTATGACTTTATGGATTATTTAAAGAATTTATTTCCGATGAGCTAGTTTTAAATAAGAATATATAAATTTATATTGGATATTCAAGAATTTATCGAGACAACGTGTTCATATTAGCCAAGTATTTTCTATGTAAAAATGTTAGCACATTAATCACATTAAACCATCATTATGAATATACTTTATCAAATAACGAATATTTTAAACTTATAATATATATAACTAATAACCGAAATATTTAATATTTGAAAAGGAAATGCTTCGATTTCAATTCAGTTGCGTTCGATTTTAAGCATCGTTCATAGGCGAATCCATACAATTTTTAAGACTATTTGTAAAATAATAGTTTAAAAATCATCGAGAAATAGCGTTAGAGAGTAAGAAAAATATATTATAATAAAGATATGGTTATGATTTCAGAAATTACATTATTTAATTGATTAAGGCTCGCAATAATTACATTAAACATCAAATTACACACGTAAAAAAATACATAAAAAAATTAATTCAATTTATAAAATCTTATAATATACTTGCAATAATATAATGCTGAAGATGCATGATATATCGATAAAATATAGTTATTTGAATATATTTTTATATTAGATCTAATTTTGTTTATTATTATAAAATAATATTGGCTATTGTTATTTTCACTTGAAATTTATTATTTTGAATTTCTCTTGAAATATGATCAAATGAAACTATGATAATTATATGCGATTAATCATTTGTTCATTCTAACTATGATATTTCATTGACAATAAAAAAGACAAAGTTACGTGTAAGATTAATCAAAAACATTATTTTAAATTAGTGTATTTAAATTATTGATCGATGTAAATAGTTTTTCAATGAAAAAAAAAAAATTTAATGCCTAATGTGATTAGATTCTATATTCTTAAATTGGGAATTATATCGTAACTAAGCTTGGAAAATTCTTCGTTTATTCTTTGATTTTATAAGAAAACTTTGTGATTATTATATAAAAACAAATAAATAATAATGTTTGTTCGGATATTATTTTTTTTTTTCCTAACATCACATTGGAAAAATGTTTTGTATTGTCACGTAATACATTGAAGACATAAGTATCGATGATTTAGTTTTGATCGAAGCCGCCGGGAAAAAGAAAAATATTGAAACAAGTAATAATTGTGCGACAGCGAGAAATGTATTTCGATATTTAAATGTGCCATTGCAATTACTAGTTGAATAATTTCTTTGATATTCGTCTGCTAGAACTCTGGGATCGCCTATGTTATGAAAGCCTTTTTATTGCAGCAACGAGCAATAATTCCCCCCGCCCCCGCCCCCGCGCACACCCTATAAATGTCATTAAAAATTCAAATTAGTTTTATAATACGAATCTGTGTGCTCATAAAGCCAAATAAAATTACAATTGCAGTTAAAGAGAAACGATCGCGGTCCTAACGAAACGGTTCCTAAAAACTTTATCTGCTCTGGTAATAAAAGTCCTACATGTAGAAAGGCAGTTGATGCTAAAAGCGGCAAAAGCGGCAAAAGCGGCCACTAATGAAGTCGTGACAGTGGCGGAATTTAACAAAACAAAGGTAGCAGCTTGCGGCTTTAGTTGTTGCGCGTTACTGCATTTTCTTCCCGCAAGTTCCAATCTGGCACATGTACACCTACGCCTATACATATATAAGCAAGCGTATTTAGGCGCCCTTGCGATTTCTATTAGCCAGACCACGAAGCTACAAACTGCATTATGCTTGTCTCCTTTTCGGCATTTTCATTGATGGAGATACTGCCTCCATAATTAACTATTTTAATTATCGGAGTATCTGTGGAAATGTTCGTTTGCTCGTGTAAGAAATTGATTTAAATATTGGAGAAACACTTTAAGAATGTACTAATAGTATAATAAAACATTTCAATTTTAAACTGTAAGCTTGAGTTTTATATATAAGTTTTTAAAACTTGTATATAGTACAATATTTTATTGAAGCACCTTGGACTTACATACTGAATAGAATGCACTTTTTTTCTTAATGATCTTACAATTATTATCTATAGCCGTTAGTGGTAAATATTTAAATTATTTAAATTCCAAAATTTCTTCCTTCAACTATCAAGAAATATCACTCCGCACGCACTATAATATTCTTGAAAAGTATGCTATATATGGTAATATTATTTAATCCGTTGCATGGTAAATTGATGTTATACAGGCATAAGGTAACTAACTATTTCATGAATGTGAAAACAAAAATGAAGTTCTTAAATAAAAAGGCTTTTTAATATTATATGTATTATATTTTTTTTTTTTTTTATATCCTGCATTTAAAGTTTTAGAAAGAGAATTATATTTTTTTCTATACATTTTTAACATTTTTTTATTTTATTTTTTATTTTAACATTTTTATTAATTGAATAATATTTTTAATAAATGAAATAACTCAATGTAAACACAAATATACATAATTAGCATTTAATTATTTAAGAAGCTGATGTAAGACTGTCAAAAAGTATTTATAATTAACTTACGAAACTTTGAAATATCAAGTCATTACATTGAAATTTCAATAAGAAGCTTTCCTATTAAAAGTAATCGTTACTCTCTTAATGTCATTTAGAATCAGTAAAACTTCGTCAACGTTAAACTTGTTTTAATTCAATCAAAGAAATATTCTATGCTAAAAAATCTAATAACAGTTAATTTATAAATATATTTATAAAAAATAGTAATGCCGGATTTATTAAGTATTTTAAATATTAGATATTAATTTGCATGTATTCAATTAGATATTTTTACAATTATAATAATAAATTTTATTTATGTATTTAATGTGAAAATAATTGTAATCGTATATTCATTATTTATTTTCGATTTAAGCTTTAACTATTTAAAGTTATACAATTGAATGGAAATGCACAAAGATGGAGTCTTATGTTTATATTATAAATATGATTAAATGAATCTTAACTTTCATTATGTATTATCTTATAACAATAATATATAAAAAGTATGGAGATGGATATATTTTTTTTTCAACTATATGCATTTAAATATTTGAATGATGTATTATTAAAATTACATATATATTTTGTGCGCTAATATTTTTGTATTAATCAATAAGATTTATTCACATTTATATTATTACGTTGTATTTATATTGTATCGTTGTATTTAATATCTTTTAAAATAACTTCAAGATATTAATTTTATTTAAGCATTAGTTTGTATTAACAGAATTAAAGGGTGTAATATTCATTTATAATACATTATTTTATGAATTATAAATATGAATTCTTTTTTTTTTAATGTACACACAAGTTTTCAAATCTACACATATTAATTACTATTACAAATCCGTAGGAACAAAAAAAAATATATATATATATATATATATATATATATATATAGCTCGATTGAACAATCTTATTAATTTCATACATATTGCTAATTAGTATTGATTATCTTCCTATAACGCAATAAAGTGTTTACTACTTTATAACTGCATCTGCATACGTTTACAGACAAAGCTGTATTGATTTTCATTTAATTTGATTGAACATATATTAACTTAAATTCTTACGAAATTAATACTGCGATGAAAACTTTATTTGCTTCTAAGAATTTAATTTTGAAGTGGAACAAAAATCTCTTCAAACATTCATTATTATTAATAAGATCTTTTAAATTGTATTATCTAAGGTAGGGACATACATTAAACCGGCAATATTACGTAATAATTAAACAAATAAGTAGTTCATCTACATTATAAGATCAAAGAATAAATCGACATGTAGGAAAATGATTTATTGTCGGATAGATGCACCGGGTTGAACTGCTTTCTCTCGTTCTTCGTTATCTCCCGGGGCTTTTACTCTAACCATTATCCAAACAAGCTAAAGATACCTAGGTATACTCGTGTAATTATAAGTATGTTTATGCGTGTGCATAGGCATAGTAGATATTTATTCGTGCTATCGGTTACATAAGCAAGAGAATGTGTATAGGCGATAGGGTACACATGTATAAAACCATCGCCTCCTCTTCGCCTCCTATTTGTTGCCTGTCGGAACATAATGTTCGGTCTCTGTCTCTTTCCTTCCTGCTTAGTAACTTGTTGAATTTTTTCCAATACTGGAAATATAATTTACTTTGTAAAATGTAACTTATGTGCCTGAGATAATCGGTTATTTTGCTTTCAATGTATCGATAATATTAACAATTGTTAATATTATAACTATTAATAATAATACTGTTGTTGAAATCTATGATTGAAAACTATCTGAAATAAAAATTTATACATTAGAAATGTTAAGATCTTATAAAAGTCAAAGAATTGACGAAAAAGAAAATAAATAAATAGAAATTTAAAAAAAAAAAAAAACACCTCACTTTATCGAACCAATGAATTCCCTTCGGTCAACACTAATTTACGAGAGCATTAATCCTTGTATCTCGATATATTGTTTAAAACAAGAGTTCAGCGTAGCAATAAATAATGAATCGAAATAGATCCTAATCGACATTTTAATTAAATATGGATTCCAGGCTAAATTCACTAATTTATAAATCACAGTATTAACACTTAAATAAATTCATAGCTTTTAACCCAACAAGCCACTTATATAAATGGATAGCCTTGGTATTCCCTCGTTTTGTTTATCCAACTATCCTCGAGAATAGAGCTTATGACCTTTCTTCTCTCACATTAGACACAAATATTTGTGCACCATTTTCAAGAACAATAGCCAGACCACCTTTCATATAGTCAAGTGTGTCCATCGATTCGTCAGTCAAGTATTGCACAGACACACAGCCAATCGGCTTAACCCATCCACTCGCGCGTTAGCGCACGCATGCGCGCGTACCTGCACACGCACGCACACGCAGCCAGACAGATTTAAAAAGCGATTTGCTCTTGAACTATCAACTTTGTGTACACCCTCGAACTTGAAGGATACTTAGAATTGTAACCGTTATACATTTAGTTGTAAGAACAATACGATAATTCCCCTAAAGAGCAATAATACGTTTTATCCATTTAGCATGTAAATATTATTTGTTTTGACTCGTTAATCTTGATATTTCCATCGCTTTATCGCTCCGGACAATTTTTCAGCAGAACGTTTCGTCTCGTGAGCTTAGGCAAAGGCATAGAACGCTATTTTTTACAGTAGCTTTTATACCGGATTAGTGCTAAATTAAATTTTACACCGATTACTGAAAATCATTAAATCGTAAATGCTGGAATATTAATTATTAAAACGATTACAATCGTGATTCTTTTGATATAGCTAATGGGATGTAAAGTTTTTTTTTTTTTTATCAAATAGCGAAATTATGCCTTGGCCTTATATGGAGTTGGTTTTTTTTTTTTTTTTTTTTTTTTTTTTTTTTTTTTTGAAATTTTATTTAATTATTTAACGAGTATGTTATCTATTATAAAATATCTATATATTTGAAATAATACTTTTCTTCTTATATTTATTATAATTGACATATAACTAGAGTCGTATTTGTATTTTTAACATTAAATATATATATTTGAATAAATAAATCAAATTCAAGAATTGTACGGAAAAATGTTTTCATTCTTACTACTTACTGTTTTTAACTGACTTACCATATTTTTTTTTTTTTATTTATTTTTTATTTTTTTCTTTTCTCATTTAAGTTCTTTACATTTTCAGTTCTTATAAATTCGTAACTATTCTATTTTTTTTTTTTTTTTATAAAATATTAAGAAGTAATTTTAAACTGTGATTTTTTATCGCGTAGAATACGAAAACCAAATTTATACATTAAATTTTTCTCAAATAAATATGAACAATTTTTTTTAGTTTAAGGTAGACATTTATAAACAAATTGTTCCAAGTATCGACGCATATTTATGTATGCGTTTGCATAATGTTATCAAGTTATGTAATAATTATCAAAGAAGAAACGATAAGAAAATTTCAAAAGTTAACAATTTTATAAAATTTAATCGTATATTATGAAATAATACAAAACCTTACAAATTGAAGCACGAATGTAAGAAATTTTTTATTTGTGTATTTTTATTTCATAAACATTTTATGAATAAAATACTTATATGTAAAAAAAAAAAATAGGAAAAAAAAAAGTAAAACACACACAATAGAAAATAAAAATACTTTTTTTTATTAAAAATGATGAATTTCTGAATAATTTGTCATTAGTCAAAAACATTGTTCAAAATTAATTTAAAAATAAATTTCATCTAAATAAATTCAATTTCACGTCCAAAACCTTAAATATTGATTATAGTATATAGTAATTTACCTTACAGTATAACAATATCATTTTCCTAGTGTAAATACACGTCAGATATTCAGAATATTACGTAGTACATAGGCGAGTCAGTTTATCACGATTCTTTCACATCTATTTCCCATCGATTTGGAAGTATTTTCTCTGTCATTCAAGAGGCTCTTCCTTGACCCGAAACGATCGACTTGCCAAATAACCTTTCAAGGCTCGAACTTCGTCTTCACGTGCACACTGACCTTCAAGGCAGAAGATTTCCCGATAGATGCAACAAAAGCATTTTCAAGCTAATTTATACGCCCTTCGAGTCACGTCATTTCTTGGCAATCCGATCTAACCACTATTTTTCCTGTTTCGGATAGAACTAATTTTTTTAAATTAGTATTTTAGATTCAAATTAGTATTTTAGATAATTTTACAAGAAATGCTTATCGAGTAGTTTATGTACTATCAAGCATTATAATCTATAATAATTGGTAATCATAGTAGACTTGACAATTGCAATTAATAGATAAATAATAAAAGAGTCAAATGTTAAATATCTTAATGTAATGTATTTATGTTTAAGCAATTTATTCTCTTTAAAAGAAAACTTTTTAATTTTATATTATTCGGTTATCATGATATTAAAGCTTTATTATTTTTATTACAATTTTCATTAAACATTTAACGAACATTATGGCAAATAGTTAACAATTTATATATAGTGTATAGTGCAACCATGTGGTTTCACAATTTTAAAATCGCGTCTACTTTTAATAGGACAATATGGTATCCCAAACAATGCTGCCGTATAAGAAAAAAAAAAAAAAAAAAAAAAAAAAAAAAAAAAAATTACCTCTAATTAACTCACATTTTATAGATTTATCCATATAAAATGATTAACTTTTAAATGAATTGTTGAATTTCTGCATTAATTCACCTATAATATAATAGGCATTTTGTTTTTATTTGTATATAATGTGTAACACCGTGTATTTATAATTTACAATCCTGATAATATAAAATTTCCCGTTAATATGATATAATTTTATATTTTATATGAATTATTAGATTTTAATTTCAGCACGCAATATATACCAAGAACACTATACATTTTTCATTTCAAACCATTAATAATTTTTTTGTATCGTAATTGTTTTAAAAATTTATCGACGCAACTCTTCTTATACAATTCTAAACAGCATTTATGAAATTAACTCGTTGTATCGATATTTTATTCGCAAAATCTCTGGTGTTTCAGTCGCAAATTTGCTGTATATTTATAACTTAGCATAACAACCAGTCACGAAGCCTGAGGTTCGAGTGAATATAAAAATACTGAACGCAATATTCAAAAAGGGCAATAGCTCATTGAAGCGCGGCAAAAGATTTTTCATTTAATTACCACATTAATGACGAACCTTACTGCATTATTGAGAGATTTGGCGATTAAGCGTAGGGCCTCGTAAGGAAATCGATTAAAACGACAAGCGAATGTAGGATGTGTCGTTACGTCAGGCCTATTGATCTAGGAATAAGCTCATTTATTGGTAAAGCTTAACCGAGCAATGATTTAAAATGATAAATAAGCCAAGCAACGTATGAATCTCAGGCTGCCACGTGCCTCGGACGCGCCAGTGATGAGCGGCGGTTCGATCTTCTCGTGGGGCACAAAGTTCAAGTACACCGGACGGACGGAACGCGAGGTCCTGGAGGAGACGGGACCACTGCGGAAGGAGGAGCCACCGATCCAGCGTTGCCATTCGGCGGGCCTGAGGAGGAAGGCGAGCAGCGTGCCCGCGACGCCCAGCACACCCAGTCAGGATCTTGTTGAAATTCGTTAGTACAGAAAACGGCACATTGCTTTCATTGACACTCGTGTTGAGACGAAAAGGAAGTGACGGACGCCGCCGTGGATTAATGTAACTTTGTAGGGTCGCGCAGGCGCGAGGCAAATCGTACCATCATCACCCGACCCCCATTATTTATCGATCACCACCTCTTTGTCCGACTTCTTTACTCAGGCGCTTTGTGCTTTCTTTTCTATTCTTCCCCCCCCCCTCCCCCATTTGTTGTTGTTTTTGTTGTTGTTGTTGTTGTCGTCGTTCTTTTGATTTTTTTTTTTATTTTTTCTTTTTTCACTCTTATCTTAATCCATGTTCATTGTTAATTTTGTGGCTCCTTGGGTAAATACGTACATTGTGAATCGCCTGACTGACTAATGTTGCTGCTTGGCACGTGAACACTAATTTTCAAGCGTTTCGTTTAATCGATTCATTCGTCAAAGTTAGTAAAAAAAATTGCGTTCTTATTACTTTATTCGTGCTTTACGCTATACCTAACGACCACATGCTGCTTTTGGTCTAAAGAATTACCAATGTAATATCGTTAATTTATTGATTTTGTGAATATCAAATAAAAATGTTATCTAGTCTGATGGTAAATAAATGAAATAAATTAATGCAATCGTAATTTATTATTAACGATTTATTCTAATATCGATTGTATTTCATCTAGAAATTATCCTTATTACTTATTCTAATCTACGGCAAATATAAGCCTTTAAAATAATACATGTTTCGGCGTTAAACATTTTTTCACACCTTTTTAATAACTATTAAATAATTATTAAATAATACAATGTATATACCGCATAATTACATACTTTTTCTTCAATGTACGTATTTCTCATTGGACCAAGCTTTTTACGCTTCGGCATAAATTTAACAATGTTTTGAATAGAAAAACATGTCTATTTACATAATTACAGCATAGCATGGCTCTGTCTACTGTTACATGGCATTCATTATTTAACAGTTCATTCGAATGTTTAACGATCATATTGGAAGGTAACCTATCGACAGTCGTTTCCTTATTCGTATATTACTAATAAAAGATAATGGCATTTAATACGAAATTGTACATAATTACAATTGAATTTTCGTAAAACTTCTTAATTTGCTTAGCGTGGCATTAAGCTTCAATGTTTGAATAATTAATTGTAAATATATATATATATTTGAATTTCTGGTAGCGAAAACTTAAAATAAATATTTACATAAATTCAATTCGTATTTGACAATATAATAAAATAAAAAGGGTAAACGTATGACTATCTATGTCGTTACATCAATTTTTAAATAAATTATGTCAAACTCTGGAGATATGGAGTGTAGCGCTAATTGCGCGCGATTCGCCATTATTATATTTACTTGTAACGGGCGTGAGATAAAATTTGCAAATTAACAAGTAACATTGAAGCGGTAAGCCCGTCATAGATTATGCTTGCCTAAATAACTTGTAATAGAGTGCGCTAATGCCGCAAATCAATCAACTCATACAAATGACCGTGCGTTACCGTTATCTCTCTCTCTCTCTCTCTCTCTCTCTCTCCGTCTCAAACAAACCAAGAAAACAAAAAAGAAAAAAAAAGTGTCGGATTGTCTGGCCTCATAAAACCGCATAAAACCGCATAAAATCGCAAAACGACCACGTGTATGCGCCAAATAAATACTCGATTTAATTCAACAAGTCAAACGCTCGCAAAATCGCCTCCACAATACGCGTAAATTTCATCGCAATTTCTCGAGTTCTCGAATCAACAGCAAGCTTGCACGTCTATGTATATATCACATGTATGCAACTTCACACATATATCTGTAAGTCTGTACGTACGCATGTATGTTGTGTGTGTGTGTGTGTGTGTGTGTGTGTGTGTGCGCGCGCGTGCGTCTCTCTCTCTCTCTCTCTCTCTCTCTCTCTCTCTCTCTCTATCTCTATCTCTCTCTGTTTATATATGTTTGTATGTACATATATGTCGATAGAATACTTATAAATATATTAGATAGATAGTACTTATAAATAATGTCACAATACAGGATACTCGAGTCTGCCGAGGAGTTGCCATAGTGCCGGACTCGATGGCGCCGGGATGTCTGACATCGGCAGTGGCATGCCCCTGAGCTCACCCTACTGCCCTGACAATACTTTGCCTCTCCTGGAAACCGTCTCCGAAGACCAGGAGATACACGCCAGGAGGAATAACGGTTGGTTCTCACTCACCTACTTTGCTCAATTTGTTTCTGCACTTACGTTGCTTAGGTGATCCTTCATGTTGAATGACTTTACGGTGGCGCTGATTAATTAATCACAGTTACAATTTACATCCCATGATATTCACAATTTGACGTTTTATCTTCGAATCAGCCGATACATTCATGAAAATCTGGTAATCACGAAAATTTTTACTCTTTAGTGCAACGATTTTTTCCACGTTGTATCGTGAATTATACGGTGGACAATAAATAGTTTTCAATAAAATTCATGAAACTCGCGTGAAACGACGAGATATTTGATACTGTGACATACCTTCTGCTATCTACATGTCATGGTAAGCTAATTATGGTAAGCTCATAATTGGCAATTTAAAAGATCCAAAAAATAATAAGCAGTCCGAGCAATTACAATGATAATAAATTACCTACTTGATACACTGTTTGACTAGATGTTTTAACACGACGAGATTTCATTAAAACATAAAGAGCGAAATCCACGACATATGCAAATATTTTGATTTAATAGCACATTTGCTAATAAAAAATAGTCTCCACCATTTTATAAATAACTCATAACAATGATTTAAAATCGTAATAATTTTATTAACGCAATTTTTACAGTTTTATCTTTAAGAACTATTTTAGGAACAAATTTTTATTATAAAATATGCAACAGTTTTGTCATGTCGTAAAAATGAAGAATAAAATTTTTTGAAATAAATATAATACACGCTGTATACTTGAATATAATTTCAATGAATATTTTTGTCTATATTTTAATTATTGATATTTTTTCCAAATATCTGTGCTATTTCATTCAACCTCAGCCATTCATTCAATCAAATATTAAAGTTCTGAGGAGAATAAGAAAATTGAGTTGATGTAACAAAAATAAAACCGATAATTCAGTCAAATGGATGAAGAGTTTATAATATATTTCATGTCACGATTCTCGAATTTTCGAAAAAAGTATCAAGACTTTCATGAATATTGATGAATCGAAAATTTAATATTTTTATTAATTTTAATATTCTATATTACCATTTTTAATACGCCTTGTTTTTTTTTTGTTTTTTTTTATTACTTTTTACTATTTAAGAAAGTCAACTCGAATTTTTTTGCATACAGAGGGAAAAGTAGAGTACAATAGTGTTTGAAACTTTGAAAATTTTTTTTTTTAAACCACTTCGGGTCTTAGAGTTATAATGCTAAAGGCGAAAAATTAAATACTTTCTTATTAAAATTTTTCGAATATTTCAAGTATCTTTACAATTTGGCAATTATTCAATTGTAATTATATATTAAAAATATGCATTATAAGTTTATTATAAATTTTTCATCAATTACACAAATTTATTACATCTCATTTATAAATTACATTTATTTATACAATTTCATTAAAAAATAAATTTATTTTAGATTTACAAATATTTTGAATATAAATTCATATAAAATAATAAATTCCATCATCTTAACGATGAATTTTTTTTTTTTTTTTTTTTTTTTTTTTTTTTTTTTTTTTTTTTTTTTATATATATATATTTAACATAAACTTTAGTATAAAAGTGAAGAGATGACATATTAATTTGTGTAAAATAATATAAAAACTGATTAAGTAAAATTTAATAAAATGATTTCCAGTTCTTTTATTGCGAACATTGATTCTGTGGAGTAATGTAATGGTGTCCGAATGTTTTAAAATATTGTACTATAATTTTCTCAAGTATTTCTAATTATTCAATGATCCTGTTGCTTTTTTCGCGTCATGCTTTTGCAAAATATTTCGCCATTATTCGATAGCTTTGCATCTAATTAAGAATATTCGATATACGATAACATCACAAGATCCAACAATATTATAGGTAAGTTATTTATATTAATATTTTATTTAACGAGAAGCAAAAAATTATCTCTTTTAAATCGACGTCTTTTAAATCTTTGATTTGAATAAGATTTTATCGGTAGGCAGATAGTCACTTTATTCAATATTTTTAACCTTGTGTAAAATTAATTTTATTAACCATTGACATAGAGACAATTTTTTGTACATTATACTATTAAAATGGCTTTAGGCAAAAAGGCAAAAAAAAAGCTACAGGATCTAGCGAGTCTCCATCTAGTTTTAAGGTTGACTTACACTACTAAATATAGAGCAAATGCGTGCCCGTCCATGCCTTAAAATAGAGATATTTTCGTATATTTTACAACAATAATGGGACAATTTTTCAATATTCTAATGTAATTAATTGCCTGCATGATCGAGATGTCTAGATAAAGCGCATACTTGCCGCGATATATGAAACAGTCACCGGAAACTGCATGGATGTTGGTTTCTCTTGCAATACACGGAAGTAATATTTTGACCCTTTTACCCTGGCTTCGTTCTGTTAACCATAAGATCGTATAGCTAAATCTACATTACTTTATAATTTTTTTTTGCCATCCGACAAACTTAACTTAGCTTAGCAAGACTAAAATTATTTTTATCTTTATTTCTCCATTAATATTATGTTGGATTCTAGGGGGCCGAACTATTAGTTGCATTATTAATTACCATCAATTATTATTTGTTAATCGATATGCATTTAAGACGATAGTGAGGGTATTCGCCTTCGTAGGCAAAATAAACGATGATTATTCCATATTATCAGACAAAATTAATTTCATTTTGTTATCATTAGATAATTAAATTATTATATTTTTTTTTATGACGAATGTTAAGGCCAATCATATTCGGTAGTAAAAATCACCGTAGCATAAAAATTTTTTCCGTTTTTTTCTTTTTTTTTTTTCCAATATCATATTTCAATATATCATAGACTGAAAATCAATTGAAATTTAATGGAAAATCTGTAACGTAATTTTGTATTTAAAATTTTTTTTTTATAAAATTTATAGTAAGTATATTAATTACAAATATAGATTCCATTAAAAATTTACGACGTATTTAATGATATTAGATTAAAAGTGTATAAGTTTAAAAGTAAAAGGTCAAAGTTATAATATATTTTTAAAAAATGCTTGATTAATTGAAAATTCTCAAATGAAATAACACATTTTCTCACTTTAGGCGGTTTATTATATAAAAATTAAGAGTTTTACTATACGAATAGTATTATTCGAAATTTTTATGTAAATTTAAATTAGTTCTACATCTGCCAATAATTACACGAATCGTCATTTAAAGATAGGTTTTTTTTTTTTTTTTTTTTTTTTTTTTTTTTTTTTATTATTAAAGGTAGGCGAAATTTTTTCTACGACTTACGTCCGAGGCTCAAAAAAAAACATTGGTGCATGAGGAAAAATTGCCTCTCGAATGAAAAATACTCATCGAAATCGGGAATAATGTAAATTATCCGTCGGTTCAGGCCTCCGCGAATCTGGATGTCTCAGCTCTCTTATTATTTCCTCGCTTCTTCTCTCATTTTGGGTTCTCCCGCCCCCTTTTCTTTCTGTTTTTTTAGCATTAGACGATACGAATACGCATGCGAGTGCCACCACCACAACCTGTTACACCACAACCTCTACCACCACCACCACCACAACCACCACCACCGCGACCACCACCACCACAATAAACCAAGCGAAAAAACTAAAATTCCCAAAGAGCACCCTACAGACGCGCCCGCAAGCCCTCTATAGTCAGAGAATCGTGATAGGCTCCGAGGAGCTCCATGGCCGTGATATCGGTAACGTCGTGCGCCAAAAAATCAATACCCTCGAGAAAAGCCCGAAGGTCGTCAGGTCGACGGCCCTGATCGTCAAGCGCTCGGTCGCACCGGCCAAGTCCCGGACGCCTTCGTCGATCACGGCGACCGTTGAGACGGCGATGCACGATGGATTCGAACAGCTAGGTGACCGTCGGTTACCAAACGGCGATGTCGAAGCAACGACCAAGAGTCAAGGAGCCAGAGACGTCGTGGACGGTGCAGGTGAGTCGACAAGAAGACGTGACACCCCAATAAACCCACAACGATCGCCAATCACTTCTCAATGTTGAGACTACAATTGACATTTCCGATATGCTCAAGTGACTCAAATACATACAACTATTACGACTACTACTACGTTGCCCTGTCAAATTATCAAGTGAAATACACGATTTACTCACACGTATCCCCATTACATTAAGCACAAGTTTCGAGGGACTTGATGCTTAGACGAACACTTTAACACGATATACGTACGTTACGATTATCATATAATTTAGCAGAATTAGTATATAATAACGACGTAATATAATATTGTCGAGTGTTTTTTTTTTGCTTCCTTTTTTATTAAATATCATACGACGACTGATTAAATATTCATTTTTGCTGCGCTTTTTGCAGCGCTTCGAGCTGTCTATTGGTCGCATAAAAATATAAGACAAATAGCATAGATACTTGAAAATTTTCCAAACACAAAATTTTACCAATAAGCAGACAAATAATGTATGTTGGACATAAATGAACTGCTGGAATACTGAAGGAGCTTGTAAGATTTGCGTTTTAGTCTTGAAATATCGATATATCCGCGCGCGCGCGCGCGCGCGACACGCACGCACACACACACGAACACACACACACACAGAGAGAGAGAGAGAGAGAGAGAGAGACACACACACACATTAGAAATAAATTTCAAAACGAGTTTTTTTCAGACACGTACATGATATACAATAGTACTGTTTAACGAAGGAACGGTATTGAAAAAATGTCAAATATACGGTGCTCAAAAATCCTTACAAGAAAAACTAATCCTACACCGAACTCCTTAACGTTTACTTAACTGCTATTACACACTTCGTTTGTAAATTAGACATTTCGACTTACCTTACTTCTCTCTTAGTTTTTTATCTCCGATTCTATGTCTTTATGGTTAATCTAGTTAAATTGAATAATTTGTACGAATATCATTAAGGTTAATACGCACTAATGATACTGGCATAGTATTATAATAGTATAGGCATAATATTATTAGTGTATGTTGTATACTAATGAAATGTTAATTTCATTTAAAGATTCACGCGAATTACGAAATTCAATAAAAATTTCATATATTACGTATAATTTTGAGACAATATTAACATAATTTAATATCTTCAAAATTGTTACTCTAATACTATATATAATTACTGACCAAAACTGCCAACAAAAATGAGATAAATTTCTTTCATAGTGCGTTTTAATCCTCTTAGTCATATTACATATACAAATAGTAATATATTAGCATGTGCTTATAGACTTTTGTTTATATAAATCCTAGACAATGTAGAAATATAGTTATCTTGAAATAATTAATCGTTCTATCATCAAGCTTGCAATATCTTTTTGTCTGTTAATAATGACTTTTATTATCATTATTATCATTAGCATTGTTATTGCCATTGTTGTTGTAATTATTATTATTATTATTATTATTATTATTATTATTATTATTATTATTATCATTATTATTATTATTATTTTATTATTGTTGTTGTTGTTGTTGTTGTTATTATTATTATTATCGTATAGTCATCATTACTATTGTCATTATTGTTATTTTGTGTTCGAACATCTGCATAATGTGAACGTTGTACCATAATTATCTATTTTATTAAGATATAAATTCATGATTGTATGTACGAACTACAAGTTTAACAAATAGCTATATTCGTTTAAAATTTTAATTTAAATAAGAAAATACTTTTGTAACTCAATGAAATACCGCATATACATGAACGGAATATGAATAGTTATATCGTAAAATTTTTTGAAATTTTAAGATGTTATAAATAATACTAAATGTATAAAGAAGATGTATTTTATTATGTATAAGTTTTACAATTTCCTAATTGAAAATTATATTACATTACGGAATAATTATCGTCATTCGTGTGCTAAATACTTTGTACTTCGTGTAAGTTAAAATTCTCTCCTTCATTTTCATATAATATTCAATTATATTTGAATTACAATGCTGACTCATTATTATTGCAAAAACATAGAATAAATGATGTAAAGCACTATAAATGAAATAAAAATTTGGTTTATTGCATTATTAAAATAATTTTTGAAATCATTTTTCATGAACGGAAATCATATTATTTTCACCATTAAAAATGTAATAAGTTATATATAAATAATTTTATTAATATTCTTTTCTTCGTGTATTTTTATTAAATATAATTTATGAATTTTCAAACGTTTATTATATACACTCGACAACAGCGAAAAAAAAAACATATATTTAAATTTTTAATAATCGTTGTTTTCAAAATTAATAATAGATAGAATGCAAAATAACAATCGGAAAGAGCAACGAAAACAAATTTTCCGCTTCTACTAAATTATTGTACATTCATTTTACAAGCACATATTACATTTTATGAATAATTAAATTAATTTTTACACAAAATGAATAGAATCCAATCGAATTATATATATATATATATATACATTTTTCTTTTTAAAATAACCGTTGAAAAAATAAACTAGAATAGATTATTTTTATAGTATTCAAATTATAAAAATTAATTGCTACCTACTTACTACATATTTAATAAAAGTGTTTTATCAAAGTTTAGAAATTATAATGAAATAGAGTTTGATGTATAGCTAAAGTTTTGCAAGATTTTTTTTTTTTTTTTTTTTTTCAATGAAAAGTCTATAATAATTAATATGTGTTGTTATTTTCTATATAATTATTATGCATTTTTAATAAATATCATTAGGCATTTTTACATATAATATTAGCATTCTTAATATTGCTTTTTATTTATTTATTATTACTAATTTTGTATTAATAGTTTTGTCATTTTTAGGACGGGTCAATGATCTAGTATCGGTAAAACGTGTAAATTATTTCATACACTAATTTCAATAACATTGACGATTCAATTTGCTCGATGCCATTAAGCTCAGGAGAAATCTTTATCGTACATCTTCAAATTTTTTTATATGTTTATTTAAAATATTTTTCAAAATTTTGTACTTGTGGCATTTATTTCCTAAGTATCCGGACAATTGCAATTATATGAAAATGAACTATAAAACTAATTTACTCGAAAGCCCAGAAATGCAACAACTTTTAGCAAATCATTGAATCGAATTTGTACTTGAAACGACTCGTGAAACAGTCGCGTGAGCATTTAGAAAATATCGGTAAGCAAGATTGCCGTGATTGTCTTAGGCAATCCGAGATTCGATGAGGAGGATAAATAAAGAAAAGCATCTCGTGTCGATTAACGAGCTCGATCGTTTGTTCACAGTTTGCCACGAGTTCGACGGCAGCGATTACTACTTCCGTGACTCGTTCGACCACTCGTCCTCGGAGAGCCAGCTCCTAGAGGCGAGTGGCCTCGGCTGTAAACCCGGACCTCACGGGAGCAGTCGCTCGATCGCCCCGGTGCCCAAGATGCAGCGCCTTCAGAACTCCAAGATCAGCAGCATCCAGCAGTCGTCGACATTGAGCTCGAGCGGCGCGCTCTCGGCCTCCTTGCCGGCGTCGATGCGCCACAGGAAGGTGTCCCCATCCCCAGGCCCTGCCGGTAATGCAGCGAGCTACCGGATACGAGGACGTAGTCTGCGAGTCGTTAAGCTCTTCGTGCCGGCCCTCGTCATCACCCTCACCGTCCTCCTTATCGTCACCGTCTTTGTCTTCGAGACGGACTCGAAGCTGCTCGAGAGCCTAAAACAGACGCCGGAGATGGCCGCGCTGAATACTCGGTATTACGGACCGATCAAGGACTTTATCAGAACAAAGCTCGGCCTCTTTTGATTAAAATGGCTCGAGGAGAGCCAAACAACAGCCACGACATCGTCGATGTTTGTCGCGTAACCAGTGCCGCTGCCTTCGTAATATATAATCTCATTCGAAAGCCGCATGCCCGCAACTTTCACAGCGAGGCGAGATTTTATTGTCGTCGATCCCTATGTTTTTATTCCACGTTACGTTCGCGTAACACGCGTAGACACGTGCGCCAAGTCGATTGTCCGTACAGTAATGAAATGACGGAGCATGGAATATCATTCATCGGCTTGCCGCTAAAGCTGGCCCATCGTGCCGATTCAATGATTGATAAGATTTACCTATAGTTATCTTAATAGAACTCTACGTAAATTGACTGTGTTAAGCTCTTAGAAGTACCGGTAAAGACGTACGATTGACGGCGACTGCTTTAACAATTTTTTAGTTTAAAATTCAGGTTCGGCAATCATTGTCGCGGTAACAGTGTTTTGGTTATCATAATGTTAACAACGATTATTAACGCTCAATTGACAAAATATATCGGCATTTTATATTTTAAAGTAATTCAATGATTGTAATATATGCGATTAGCAAAAGTATCGAGACGAAATTTTAAGGGAATAAATACTTGTAGAGAAAATGAAAATTATCATTTTTAAATATCGAGTCATTTTCAATACAATTTGTTCCTTTTTTTTTTTTTTTTTTTTTTTTTTTTTTGTATCTTTTAGCCATTCTATGCAATGTAAAATTTTGTTCGTGTACGTGTGAAATTTCCTTTAAAAGTTGTACTCTGATACACTCTAGCATCTCGCGAAATTTCCTAAAACTTAAAATCTTTATTTAGAGGTTTGTACTCGAAATGTACATTTCGAGCTATACATAACTTTCTCAATTTACTAACTTTATTTTTTTTTTCTTCTTTTTTACAATAACAAATGAACTAGTCGATTACTGACTTAGATTTAAATTGCGTATAATAATTTAAATTTTAAGAAGTGACGATTATCTGTTATCTGAAAATTATTACAACAAAATAATTCACGGCTTCAAGCGACGTCAGTGCCAACTTCAAATGTACGCGACAAGAAAAATAAAGAAAAAACGAATATTACAAAAGTGCTCCAACGTGAGAAATCAATTGTACATGTAAATAAATGTCTTATGTAACATCAGTTTGTAAAATCAACAGCGTAATTTCAGTTAAGGATTTTTTATTTTGAAATTTTATTAAGTCAAATGTCGATGTAGGCCTTAATAAGTCATACAAAGTCATCTGAGACTTATATATACCAAAAAGTATACTTAACAAGTAACATCTAAACGCATAAATTAATGGTTAAAAACGAGTATATAAGAAGGTATATACTAATGAAGGATGACTAGGTCGTAAATAAATATGTACATTAATCATGTGTTATGCCATATAAATATCTGGCGTATAAAAAGAAAATAAAAACAAGCAATCAAAAGCAGAAATAAGAGATGGAAGTGAAAGGAGATGGATTGTAGGATAGAATTATGTAAAAATCGCCCATACTTGTTCTCATATTTCGATAAAATATATATGAAGACGTACATATAGAGAAGACGATGAAAAACTTAAGCATGCAAACTATATGTTGAATTAATGGAAAAATAATTCAATGGTCTTCCGACGGCTTCCGGGATAATTCATAATTTACTCTAATTTAGTTGAATGTAACTAAATTCTTTTCCCATCTGGATTTATGCTACATGAATTTTGTATTTCAAATATTAAAACTCTATATTCACCTCAAAACAACTGTATAATGACATTCTTTATTTCAACTAAAGGGGATAGAAATCGAAAATAATGTCAATTAATTTTTCTGCTATATTATTTAGACCATCTAATATATTGTGATATATCATCCATGAGATATTGGTATTTTTTAGAATAATTGTAAGAACTTTTTTGCAAAATCGAATCTCTTTTCTTTGCATTAAATAAGAATGTTTGTAACGGTAAACTGATATTTGAAAATGACTAGATAATAATTTGGCTCAATCAAAATCAATTTGACAAGACACACTTTCATAATTATTGGAATTCAATTCTTTTTCTGCTTTTATCGACATTATGTTAATTTCGATAAACAAAATTGTATGATAATACACATTGTAAATTGCATATAAAGATTTCAAAAATATATTTACTTGAAACATTAATGGAGGAGAGAAGCGAATTTGACAATTCGTGTGTTCGAAAACAACCGAACGTATTAATACATAAGGAAATTATTTTTCATTGAAGTAATTTCGAACAGCATGGCTTCGTAGCGACGTTTGTAATATAAATAATGGTGAAATAATAATTATTCTAAAAATTAGAGAAACAATTCCACTAGATTATAGCAAATCGAAGCAGAAATATATAAAAGATAAAACTAAAGTAATAAGCGCAACGATCAACGAATAAATAATTGATTATTTCATACATTTGCGGTGCGAATTACGTCGTCTTTTTTTTTTCTAGACCTTGAGTACGCAGCATTTCATTTCATGCATTAACGAAAGAAGATAATTTATTTGTCCAACATTATATTTTCACGAAACCCTTATGAGAACTCTAATACTCTTCACGCTACGATTTCGCAAATGCACCGTCAAAGTGCATATAAAGTTATATCACTGTGATTTAACAATTCATCTAAATTAGCATTTTATTTTCTACACTTTTCTCTACGTTTTAATTTCGAGTTCATGATTTATACTTTTCAATATTTTGTCAATTTAGCTGCTAATCGATTTAATTTTTTTTTTTTTCTAATCTACTCTTTTCACTAAAAGATAAAGTATATATACAGCACATTGGATACACATATTGAAGATTTTCTTTTAAATATGAATTTATAACATTTAACATTGACCATTTAAATATATTGTATATTATTTAAATTTCAATCGTACTAAATTAAAAGTACCAAAGTTTTTTCAGTTAGTATTCTTTCAGAGATCAATTGTAGAAAATAAAAATCAATGCATTCATGGTAATATTTTTCCAATATAAGCCATAATTTAAAAAAAAAAAAAAAAAAAAAAAACTAATAGAAGATTTAAAATTAAATATGTGTTCTATTTATTTTCATGTATTTTTGTTTTTTTACTTACTATCAATAACAATGAACATTAACTCAATCGAGAATTTATAAAATAATCTAAAATAGATTCGCAGGAGCGAAATCGAAGCTTAATATAAAATAAATTATCCATTTTTTCCTAAAAGTGCCTATAATGCTGTCCTCTTTAACTCTCGGCAAAACGAGTAATTGTATATTATAAAATTACAACAACAACAACAACAACAAAACATAACAAGCCAAATATTCAATTAATAAATTGCCCGAAGATCAATAAAAACAAAACTTAAAATATTATAAAGCTTTCGGGATTTTTCAAAATATTTGTTATTATGCGTGCTTTACATAAAAATAAATGCAAAAAATGTATAAACTACATATTGTATAGTGAATTAATTATTGAAAAAGAAAGAAGATAATGGATAGGAGCGCCAAACTATACGCGTCTAAATAAATGTACACATACATATGTATACATATGTATACATGGATATATATCTACATGAATTTAATGAAAATATGTTCTTTGGCTTGTTTTGGTATGATAATTTCGATACATAAAAGCAGAAACTTGTCGTTATCACGCTCATAGTGTACATTAATAAATTATATGGTGTTTATCAATGGAAGGATAATTATTGCGACTCCGTCGAAGGATATGTAATAAATATACAGATGTCAATTGGAAATAAAAATTTAATCTAACAGGTACAGAAGTAAAGGATTAATATGAAAGTGAGAAATAAATATCGAATGGAAACGTAATCGATAATTTCGGCAATTTCTCCGTTTTTGACAGTGTATTTTATAATATATAATTCATTTATTTATAAAACTATTTTTTAACTATGATATCATTTACTCAAATTGTAGAGATTTAGTTAAAAAAATTATTTTATAAAAGCTTTATGTTTTACATTATACCATAATTTTTAAATTCTACAGATTAAGAAGTAACTTTATTCTAATGTTTCTTCGTCATTTTAAACAATAATAATTAACACAGTTAAATTAACACAATTTTCTTATATTACCATTATTAATTTTGTGTTACAATTATTATTATTTTTACTTTTTTAATAATTTATAATAATATGTGAATGAGCGAGATACTAAAAAATGACAGAAATAGGATTTACATCACAATGACAACTAGATTTTAAGAAATTTTATGTATTTAAAAGCTCCGTGCAATGTGTGCAGAAATACGTTGGCAAATGTACTAGAGCAGCAGAGACCATAGAATGGATAAAATGTGCAATACGAACCATGACAGATATTTGTTAAATAATTATCGTTAATATGAGAATGAGAACAATTGTGACATTGTTTAAAATTAAGTTTTATTATATTTTCCTCTTAATTTTATTTATTTATAATAAGCGCTAATAGGAGTGGACAGTTTTTTAAAGGTTAAGCTATTACAATCGTTATATTATTGTTATTAACTTTATGATTAAATACGTTGACTTTTATGTATATGGAATGTTTTAAGTGTATAAAAAATTATTTCAACATTTATTTATTTTTTAATAAATATTGCCTTTTGAATGATTTCGTCTTCAAAACTGCACCAACAAAAAAATTACACTGCATTAAAGTAATTTTCTAATAGTGTCCCCTAATAGATTTTTCTCATAATCCACATTAGATCTATAATTCTAATAGACCGTCACAAATTGTCGCAAATCATTGATAATATAACATTTCTCTGAAAATTATTCTTACATCTTTTACATAATCTTTGAATAAAGTTTTTGTCGCAATAATATAAAGTAAGATGACATTTTTTATTTATTTATCAAAATAATTCTCTTCGCGAGTTTTAATCAGTGGAAGCAAAATATATTACAGGAGCAAATAAATTGGCAATAAATTAAAAACTTATCCTTTCTGTAATATATATTTCACATAAATTAAATAATAATGATGATATTTTTAATCGGCATTCTTAATTATATTTATAATTATTTATAATGCTATAATTATTTATAATAATTATTCGTTATTATAAATATTAAAGAGATAATAAATAGCAAAGCAATATTCAAATTATAATACAAAAACAATATGTTACAAAAACAATATAATACAAAAACAATAGTATATAACAAAAAAAAT